AAATAGTTTGGAAAACAAAATAGCTTTGAGACATGAATTCATTAAGCACTGGAGGCAACCAATGCTTTCAGAAAATCCAAATGTTCATGGAGTTCAACTCCAAAAAGAAGTATTGAATGCTCACTGACTCAATGTTCTTAATACAATTTTTATTCTTTTTTGAATTTTTTTGGGTGTTACTATGATTTGAACTCAAGGCTTGATGCTCACAAAGCAGGCACTCTACTGCTTGAGGCATACCTTCAGTCCATTTTACTCTGGTTATTTTGGAGATGGGGTCTCATGAACTATTCGCCATAGTTGGCCTTGAGCTGCTGTCTTCCTGAGCTCAACCTCCCAAGTAGCTAGGATTAGAGGCATAAGGTACCAGTCCTAGGCTCATAAATTTTATTCTTTATCCTCTTCAATCTCTAAATTTATCAAATAGTCTGTATTACCATTGCATTGAATGTACAATTATAGATAAACAAAAATTTGTGAGTTTTGTATATTTATTTGAGTCCAGACTTTGAACTTAAAAGCAAAACAAACTGGAAAAAAACGTGAAATGAACATTTCAAATGCCTTATTTATTTTATTCCAATGAGGTCTTTGAGCAAAACAAACTTTCTTCCCATTAGACCAAATCATAGGATTTTAAAGATTTAAAAGCAATCCTCAAAGTCCACCATTGAGGGAGTCCACATTTTAAAAATAAAATGTTTCCTCAAAGCCATAAATAATTTAATCTTGGTCTTTCTCCTATCCATATGGCCAAGCAAAATCTGCCAAAGTCTTTATGTACACAGAAGTGGTTTCTTAGTCAGTACCTCTTTTTTTACCATTAAGATATCTGATACAATAAAACCTTCTCTGTGTAAAACAATTTATTTTTGAAGTACATTGAGCCAAATGTATCTAACACACCAACCCCAATGATAGTTTTATGCACTTTATCTTGCCCACCACTGTTGTATTTTGCTCTCCATCTCAGGACTGTACCCATGTCTGACATTTCCCCCTTGGAGACCCATTTTGTTAATTCTGGATATGTAGAAAAACAAGTCCTGTTTAAATAAGCTAACTTACACTAGTATAACTAAGTACATTTATACTCATATACTAGAATCTTATTTTTCCTTAGACAAAATTATTAAGGTATATCTGTTCTGCATTACATAGCTGTATCAAGTTGTTCTGATATTAGGCTCACATTTTCCATTTCAGTATCTCTATACATACGTAATTCCCTTGTTGACTTTTCATGTGTTCTTCTGTAAGGGGTGGAGGGCTGAGACCTAAGTTTATATAAAGACTTTACCCACAACTGTCAGCTTTCCAACAAGAATGACTGCCCAGTCTACAACTCCATTCATGCAGGAGGCAATAGTTTTAACCACATCCCCAACAGCATTGGCACCATCCATTTTCCTAATGAGATGGATGTAAAGTGAGACCTCATTTTATTTTTGCATTCTCTGATTCCTAATAAGGATGAACACCCCATTGTGTACTTGTACAACATGTAAGTCTCCCTTCTTGAAAATCACCTATTTATACTTTAAAATTGTTATATTTTGATCTAATGGGAAACACTGTCTTTTTTTCAGTTGGGTTAAGATTTTTTGTTTTTGTTTTTTTTTGCTGATTTATAAATGTTTCTTGTATAGTTTAAGTATCACTACCTTGTCAGTGTCCCACCCTGTTAATATCTCTCATCTATGTGATGAATTACTCAGTGTTTCCTTCATTTTTAAAGTCTGCCAATTTATTGCCTTCTTGGGTTTGAGGGGGTATTAAGGGGACTCTCATTTGGTCACAAAATTCTTATTTATTGAAATTACGCTTTCACCTTTCATATTTAATGCAAGTTAAATATGAATGTGTACTAAGGTCCATGGGTAATTTTTCTTCATATGATCCGGTTTTTCAACATTCTCTATTAAATAAGTAGTTTTCCCTTATTAGTTCACAATGTCACTGACATTTCAGTTGCACATGCATGTGTGTCTGGTTTTGAGCTATTGATCCTCTTATATCAAACTATTGTTACTCTTACAAAACAGTGTTTATAACTTCATCCCAAGTAATATGTCCTCACAGATCAGAAGGTCATACCTCATTGTGTTTTTTATTTTTGTCTTCCCAAATCAACTACAGAATTTTTGTGAGCCTTTGTTTTTTCCTATAAATGTTAGTTTGATGAATTCTTGGAGAGAATAAAAGAGGGAAATGTCCCACTGGAATTGTGACAAATCATTGACTTGGGCAGAGATGACATCTTTACAAATCAAACAGATGACAACTCTCCATTTATTCAGCTCTTCCCTGATGTCCCTTAAGTGTTTTTTTAACATTTCTTAAAGATCTTGCACATGTGTTCATATGAATGGTTTTATTGCCACTATGATTGCACGACTATTTTATAGTTTTGTTGACAGGATGAACAGAATTAGGACTTCCATTATATTTTAACTGGATTTGCTATTATAAAGGAAAACACTATTTTTTCGTAAATCAGCCGTATACTCAGCGCATTTATTGAGCTTCTTTACTAGATCTGTGCTCTGATTCTACCTGTTATCTGTAGAACATCTCACGTGTAAATAAGGACAGTGTAGGAAAGTAGACACACTTGTTTCTGGTCATTTATTTATGTCTGGTATTATTTGGAATGTGTTTCAGACCATGTTCTTCTGAGATGAGAGCCAAGATAAAGATTTCATGAGGTACTTTATTTGGGAGGCCATTTATGAAACTGAATAGGAAACAAAGGAAGAAATGTCAATAGTCGGGTGTGCTGCTGAAGGTACCTCTGAGGTAGAAGGGACTCAATTCCTTCTCTGACACCAGGAAAGGATGCATCCCATAATACCCTGTCAGAAAGAAATAAGACTGGGGCATTTTTCCCTCTAACTCCTGTTGGGTGATGGCTTCTCCTGGGGAGTTGACCCTTGCCCATGCCTGCTACACTTGCAAAGGAGCTGAGCATCTTTCAGCTTTGGAAAAGGCCTAAAAGCAGAAAAGTGGAGAGTTGTGTGGTGCAGCCTGGGGGTGGTGTACTCTCAGACTGATCTCCGCTAACAAGGAGCTACCCATCACACTGCAACCAAAACTGGAGGTGCACAGAGGAGACATGACAGAGCTCCAAGAGCTTTTTCAAAGGGGACCTAAATGCAATGAAGTCTCCTGAATTGGATCTCAAAACAATGAAAGAATGAAGGAAAAGTGGTGGAATATGAAAAGAGAGTGCAATTCAATGAACAGCAATGCAGAGTTCAAGTCTTAGTTTTGACCAGTGAATCTTGATATACAAAATGTTAACAAGGGAATGTGGGTGGAGGACACATGAGAAACTTCTACACTATCTTCACAACTTTATATCAAAAATAATTCTAAAATTGAAAGTTTATTAAAAATTTGGAGGGAGACTTAAGTATGCATCTGTGTATATAAGAACACAAAGCTGAGCTGAATGATGCTCTGACAATCACAGCAGAGAGGATTACAAAAGCATCACTTCAGAAACAACCCATGGAGACAGGAGTAAATAATGACTGGGAAAGGGACATGAGGACTTCCACGTGTCGGTCATGTTCCATTTCTTGACCTGGGGGTGCAGATTGCACATGTGCCTTCATTTTGTGGAATTCATTGAACTGTGCTTTTGTCACATTACCCTTCAATAAAAAAGAAGTGTAAAAGCTCATATACTGGTAAATACTTTCCTGTTAAGGTAAAGTCTAGGCTAGGATAAAGAAAACTTATGGATATAAATAAAGTGTGGAAGTGGAAGCTTCTATTCATGGTCAGATACAACACTTATTAAGCCATAGTCTAAAATCTTCAGATCTTGGAAATCAGATCCCAGGAGTGGTCAATCCTTCCTAGAGGCAGTTCTGCAGGTGTTGCTGCACTGGGCTGAGGCAACTGCATCTTAGCAAAGATTCCCTGGAGATTCTGATGCCTATTATGTGCTACCGAGCTTTCCCAGGGATGCTCAGTGAGTCTTCAAAGCTAGAAATGGACTACTACACCTACAGTCTAAACCCTCCCCCAACGGCACCACTGGAGAGAAGTATCAGCAAGTTCTATTTACCTTCAGAAGCTTATTGAAGATATTCTGTTCCACCATCATGGTTATTTTTTTAACCCTACAAATAACAATGCTTTTTCTGACATATATTAAATTTCATACTTTTAATATAGCATTAACACATTTGTTACTTATTAAACAATGGCAGATCATAGACTTCATAGCTATTTAATCTGGATGGCTATTAGCCAGCACATTCAATTGTTTTTATTTTTGACAGTGCTCTCTCATTTCAGCCAAGTCTCCACTCTTTTTGCTCTAGATTATTTCTTTCAGATAGGGTCTATCTTTTTTTGCAGGACTGGCCTCTGACGGTGATCCTCATATCTACGGCATCATTGCACCATTATCCTAGCTTGTTTTGTTGAGATATGGATCTAACTAACATTTTTCCCCCAACTTATCTCAAACCAGAATCCACCTGATTTCCACCTCCTGAGTAGCTAAGATTATAGGCATGGGCCACTGAGTCTTGCCATTTTGTTTTTGTTTTTTTGTGTGAGTGTGGTACTGGGGTTTGAATGCAGTACCTCTTGCTTACTAGGCAAGATCTGGTGATTCTCCTGCCAAGGCAACACTCCCTCCTCACATACCACCATGCTAGGATTCCTTGCATCCACTTTCAAGATGATGAAACTGATTCCAAAGATATTAGTAACTTGTCAAGAGGATGTAGATTTTAATTCTTCTTTTTCAGATCAGTAAATAAGACTGGATTTTCTTTTCATGGTCACTATCTGATGAGATTAATATGCCATATAATTAATTTTTTGGTGTGGATTCATTCATGTGTAATTCAGTTTTTCACAATGTCTGCTAGTGTTGCTCTTAAAATAATTACTGTTGAACCATTGTGTGATGGCAACTAGACAGAAGACAACAAACACACCTTTACCGTACACTTGAAATATGTCAAAAAGCTCTTTTTTTAATGGGAGGGTAATTTGTGGCAAATTAAAGGAGAAATTAAGAATATTTTTTAAGAAATAACAATTTTAGGTAGGTGATTATGAGGAAGATAATCATCATACAAGCCAGCGCCACGTGGTTCCTCCACAATCCCCAAGATGAGAGATCGATGCCCTGATTTATCAAGTAGTCTTCGCCAGTACATCTGCAATTCAACACACAGAGTATGACTTCATTCCTGCCACCTGCATTCACTGTTCCTTTGTTAGAGAAATCTATGGGTTAATCAAGTCTTTAATAATTATACTTTCATATTTAACATCTAACAGTCACTGAGTCCTTACAACTTTGGTGGATGCCATGCTAAACAACTTGTATCTAATAGCTTAGTTAATTTCTAAAATCATCCAAACTGACACAGTTATTATACACACTTAAACGAGGAGGGGATGGAGGCCTAATGAACTTGGCCAAGTTCACAGTCACCTTATGAACCAAGTTTCAATCTCCTCAGATTCATTCATTTACAAATCTGTAATGCTGCTCTCTGCAAAGGGCAGAAGATTTATCAACTATCTTTTCACTTCCTGCTGATGGGGAAAACCTCAGCTTTAACCTAAG